GCTCCAGTCCCCACTCCCAGTCACACTGCTCCTGGGCTGTGCCCACCTGGGACGGACCTTCTACAAACTGGACAGAATCTCTTAGTCTAACATGCCTGCCATGAAAACAGAACGGCCCGATGGATCCCAGCGTCTCCCTGTTCCCGCTTTCATTCTCTGGCTCTGGCTGTCAGCCCTGACTGCTCACTAGAAACTTCAGGCCGGTGAGCCCTGGGGACCCCTCCCCAGAGGTATGAATCCAGTTGGGTTAGGGGACAACCGGGACCATGCACCTGCCTCTTTCCCCAGCTCCATGCCTAGTTGCTTGACATCTGGCACGATGGCAATGTTGACACCATGGGAATCAGCAGGCGCTACAGATGAGGGCCCAGAGAGCCAGTCATTCGACATTCCTAGCCCACCGCAGGGCGAGCACACAGTGTGAAAAGACCCCGTGGTGATTCTCGGGTGCCATAGGGCTGGCACCCACTGCCTGACACATACTGTATGAGAGGTGCTCACCGGTAATCAAGACCATTTTCCTGACTCACGGTGGCCGGGTGCCTTGCAGGGTAGAATTGCAAGCCATGGGAGTTTTGACAGCTGACTACTGGGAAGCAGATCACCAGCCCTTTCTTGTGAGGCCCCTCCAGGTGCACTTGAGCCTCAAACTTTTGTGGTTTAGCCACCAAGTGCTTCGCCCCATCCAGGGACTCCTGCTGTGGATAACAGGTGCTGCCAGGCCAGCTTTGGTCCATAATCACCATCTGTTCACCGAATGGCCATCCAGCCCTGACAGATAAGAACCGATTTAGGTGAATCAATCACTCAACCCTCACAGACACCCAAGAAAGGGGGTTCTGACTCACGGTGACCCTGGAGGACAGAGTCAAACTGACCCCTTGGGGTTGCCAGGGCTGTGAATCTTGACAGGCGCCGTGTCGTCATTCTTCCACAAAGTTTCTGGTGGGTTTGAACCTCCAGTCTCTTGGATAGCAGCCAAGCGCTTCGCCACGGCAATTCCTACAGGGCTCCCCAAAGAGAGTGACTACCCCATTTCATAGATGAGGAAACCAAGGCCAGGTAGATCCCCTGGCGTGTCAGCCAAGGTCACACAGCTAGTTCACGCCCGAGCTTAGGTTTGAGGCCACATCTGTGGGCTCCCAGGACATCTGGGGTGGCCGTGGTGGGTGTCCCATGTGCCTCTGCTCATGGTGACCTGGGGGAAGGGGGCCTGAGTTGTGGACCCTGCCGTGTGTCCCCGTGTCCAGGCTTAAGCACTGGGAATGGGCAGTGTCCCCAACCCCGGCGGGTGCCTGCCCTCCGAGCAGAGCCAGGGCCCTACTGGGGCGGGTCCTCTGATGCTGTGCTGTCTTCTCCCTCTCAGTGGAACACGACAAGGAGATCTTCCACCCTAGCTACCACCACCGGGAGTTCCGCTTCGATCTGTCCAAGATCCCAGAAGGAGAAGCCGTGACCGCAGCCGAATTCCGGATCTACAAGGACTACATCCGGGAGCGCTTCGATAATGAGACATTCCGGATCAGCGTCTACCAGGTGCTGCAGGAGCACTTAGGCAGGTGGGTGCTGTGGGGGGGGCTTGGGCCTCCGTCCGTCCGTCCCAGGAGGCCGGGGGGGTTGTGGCTGGAGGGGGTGAGGCTCTGTGATGGGCCCGTGGCAATGTCTGCTGGAGCTGCAGCCAGGGTCTTCTTCAGGAAGGTGTGGTCTGCACCACTGTCCCCAATCTCGGTCAGCACTGGCCAACCGGTATTGGGGGGCCGCCTGGGCCTGGGAAGGAGCTGCAGGTGTACCTCTCGCCCATCCATCACTGGCTCCAGGGTTCCCGGCTCCCCAGGCCATGAGAGCAACTGGGGTGGGAAGGAGGGGGTGAGGGAGGGAGACCCACAGGGATCGAGTCAGCAAGCTGGCAACCTAAGCATGCTGGTGGTCTGAGATGGTGACAGAGGGATCGGTGACGGGGTCACTGGCCACATCTGAGCCAAGGGGAGTCGAGGGAAGGGTCTTGGATCTCTGAGGGAGGGGGTCGTGGAGACAGAAGGCTGTGATGCTCTGGGCCGCTGAGTGATTTGAGGTCGCTTAGCGTGAAGGGGGTGACACTGCAGAATCAGATGAAGCTTTGTCGCCCCGTCACACCTGACCCCAGACCTCCCATCTCAGTTCACCGGGGTCTGCCTTCTCCACTCAGCCTCAGGGGCCTGGGCGGGTCAGGGCAAGAGAGGCAAGAAGAGGCTTGAGTCACTGGAGGGAGCAGAGGGACAGGGGCAGGTGTCCTCTGCTCTTCGGGTGACAACTGGTCACCTCAACTGGACCGTTTGAGCTGGGAAACAAAGCAAGTTCATCTCCTGGAGGCCAGCCCCAAGCAGCCCTGAGGGCTGGGCCTATGGTCTGTGGGCCCTTCCCTCCCAGACAGGCCTGTGAGGGGCCAGGCTGCTGGGCCGCCTGCCCCAGGCTCTGCAGCGCCCTGGCCGGTCTCCCCAGGCTGGGGCCCTCAACAGGCCACGGGGAAGGTCTCCAGCAGGCGCATCATTGGAATGTCATCTGGATTCCAGGAGATCAAGAGGACTCCGCAGAAAGCGGACTCCCACGAGGGGAGACACTGGGGCTAGCCCAACACACTAATCCCTGCATCCCCGGGCTTCCCTGGGGCCCCGAGGACCAGATGTTCCTGCTCCGCACAGCTGGGCGGCCAATCAGTGCTCCTTCTGCTCTGAGTGCCGGGGCAGCTCGGGCCTGCAGGCCCTTCTGCTTGAAGAGGCGGGAGCAGGGCCCCCCTCTCCAGACAGGTGAAGTCCTTGGATGTCTCAGCGCTTCAGAGAGGCCCATCTCTGGGGCTTTGTTCCCAGCGCTGCAGCAGAAGGAGGCGAAGATCTTGCCCAGCCTGGAGCCCGCTCACCCAGCTCCTCAGATGCCGCCCCCCCACCCCCACCCCCACCCCGCTTGGTTGGTGATGACAGATCAGCCTCTGAGGCATCCTGGAGAACAGAGAGCTGCCCCCTCTCTACCGAAACAGACCCCCATGTCTTTATCCCCAGGAACCACTGGGGTAGGGGGATTCGAACCGCCGGCCTTTGCTTTTCGCTGGAGCCCCTGTGCTACCCTCACTGAGCGTTTCCATCAGGCTCGGCTGAGCCGGGCGCTGCGCTAAGCTTGTAAACATCCTCCACCCTCATGCGATCCCGGGAGGGAGAGCGGATGAGTATCCCCATTTTAAAGGTCAGGAAACTGAGGGCTCAGCAGCTACTTCCGGGAGCACACACCACCCCCCCACCCCCCCGCCGCCACCACTCCCCCATTTGTGTTGGCTGCAGAATGCAGCGTCACGCCCTAACCATTGGGCTTCCTCGGCTCAGAACAACATCCACTTCCCTTCCCGAAGCAAACATATCGCGTGGTTTCCAGGGACTGGATTTGGGGAAGTAGATCTCTAGGCCTTTCTTCTGAGGGGCTCTGACCTTGACTTTCGGCAGAGCACATCAGCAGCACCCCTCAGACTTCAGCGACGGAGGGTGTTCACCTGCTTCACGGTTCACACGGCGGTGGCGGGCACTTCTGTCTCCTGCCGCCCTCTCTCCTCCTCCAGCATGGCCCAAGCGTGCCCCTCCCCGCCGCCTTTTCCAGCTCCATCTCTGATATTTGGCTTCTGTGGGCCCCCCTACCTATGTCTTTCTTACATCTGGAAGGGCAGAGGGCAGCCAGACAAAGGGGCAGGCAGAGCCAGTCTCCAAGGGCTCAGTCCCCGGGCAAGAGTGAGATGTTGCCGTGTCGGGTAAAAGCGATTCCCTCGCTGTGTTGCTGGGATGCGGGAAGGCGATCCCGTGCCGGATCAGGGTCCCGTCACTGCCGAGGCGGGAGCCCCAGATGCTCCCCTGAGATAGAGGTCCTGCACGAGGCAGGGGCATCATTTCCAGCTCTGTGTCCCCCGGGCCCTCTGGAGAGGCGTGTCCCCACCTCGTGTCAGCGTGGGACCAGCCGCTGCAGGATCACCAGCTCCCGTGGCACCTCAGGTTTCCAGCCCGGGAACCTGAAGGCACAGACCCCCTGAGGCCAAAAGGAGGGGACAAGACTGAGGCAGAGGGGGACTCCTCAGCTTCCAGGCCAGTTCTCCTCACACCCAGCCAGGAGGATGGACAGCCTGCAGCAGAGCATCCAGGCTCAGAAGAAAGGCCTGGCCATCTGTCCTCAACGGCCAACAGAAACCCCATGGCGCAGAGGTGTGATTCCCGCCAGGTGTGGGCATGGCGCAGAGGCGTGATTCCCGCCAGGTGTGGGCATGGCGCAGAGGCGTGATTCCCGCCAGGTGTGGGCATGGCGCAGAGGCGTGATTCCCGCCAGGTGTGGGCACGGCGGAGCAGGTGGGCTTCGGTTCAGCGATGGCGGCTAAAGACAGCAGCAGCTAAACTCTGGGTGGCTTTTATCTGAGTTTAATAACATCAATGCGTCGGTCAGAGGCCCATGTGGCCCCACTCAGGGCAACCGCATCCACCCTTGGGGTCCAGCCCTCTGGCATCTTTACCAGTGACGGCTGGGCTCTGGACACTCCTCTGAGATCTGTCAGCCCCAGTTCAAAGAGAGGAAGTAACCGGCCTGGGGTCACACAGGAGTGGGGCTGAACTGAGGCTCTTAGACGCCACCACACAGGGTCTCTCCTAGTTCTGACGTCCTCCTGGGTCTCAGGTGGTCCAATCAAAGTGTCCACATGGCTCCAGCCCTCAGGAGTTAAAAGAAGAAAAAAAAAGCAAAACACCACGCCCAGCAGCTCCCCTGCCCTGACATAGGGTAGGGGCTCCCCAGGGGTTCTCTCTGTGTGGTCAGATACCAAGATGACTGTGCCATCTCGGGGAGAGAATCTCCCACAGGCTCTTGGGCCTGGCCTCACAGACAGTTTCAGTCCCTGCAGGACTGAGCCTAAGGTGCCGGCCAAGCCGTGACTGCCAGTTCCCGGCATCGGGAAGGGGCTGGCTGAGGCTGGAGGTGCCTTTGGCATCTGGCTCTGGAGGCTTCCAGAAGCTTCCAGAGGCTTCCTGCTGCTCCTGAAGGCCTAGGTGTCTGGCTTCACGTCTCCTGGCTCCCACCCCTCTCACCCCACCTCAGGCTTGGGGTATGAGTGCGGTGGGGAGCCGCCCTCTCAGGATTTGCCAGTTCCGCTCCAGAGTGGCCTTCTCGGCTGGGTGTCACGGCATGCCAGGGCTGCCTGGGAAGTCAGAGGGCAGCACGCCAGGGAGCAGCCTCCCTAAAGGGCTCACGGTTCCTTTGGCCCCTCTCTCTTGGGGTGCTCTAGGGTGCTCTCAAGCCTCTAGGTGCCTGTGGAGCCCATTCGAATCCATCTGGAAACAAGTCCACTGCGCCGGGCAGCGCCCACACAGCTGCGTTCACTGCAGTCAGGGTTGGCGCTCAGCACCCACTGCCAGACCAGCACTGACCACCGGGCCTGGTCAGGTGGGTGGTCAGGGCAACTTTTGGGATCTCTGTGCTTGGCTTTGTGGGCCTGGCAGTCATCAGCCAATACAGGATATTCTCGAGCGGGTTGGGCAGAGCAGGCGTGGCCTGGGCAGGTAGCAGGCATCCTCGCCCTTACTCTCCCCTCCCCTCTCCTGTCTGTGCTCGCCCACTGTGTGGGTGAGGTGACTGAGGCGAGGAGTCAGAAGCCACAACACCAGGTGCTGGGGAGTCGATGCCCACTCCTGGCCCCCGTGTGGGTTCTCAAGGCTGCCACCTCTCAGTTGCAGGCTGCCAGGTCTTCCTCTTGCTGGGGGGTAGGCTATGGTGGGGGAGTGTTGGCTAGCAGCTGAGTGCTTGACTGCATCACCACCCAGGGCCTCCCTAACTGACACAGGTGGATGCACATGTGGGCGATCGGGGGTCAAATCTGCTCGTGGACTGGGCTCGGGTTGGGTGCTGGTACTCTCTCCCTCTGGAGGTGGCTCAGAGGCAGTGTGACCTCACTTCCGATGCCCAGATGCCTCACCCACTCGCTGAGGAAAAAACCCCAGCTCCCCACCCCTTGGGGTCTAGTGTGGTCCGTCATGCCGGGCCATGGGATGGGGAGAGGGCACCCCACCCCCAGGTGAATGGCTGGTTAAGAGAATGAAGATAGCAAAATGTGCCTCTCCTATCTGACCACCCCATGTGGATCTGATTAATACCTTGAAGGTCAAGGGGAGCAAAATTCGCTGTGAGGCAGCCAGCCCGCTTTGCGGACATTCCTGGGAAACCAGGCCATGCCCTCTCGGTCCCGTTGATTTGGCTAACATCTCACAAACTCAGATGCCACCTGTGAACCCAGGCTGTCAGATGCCCCCACCCCTTTCCCAGGACGCCACTTGGAAGGTTCGTGAAGCTGGTGAGTTTCATGCCCCGACCGCCCCTCCTCGGGCTCTCCCCCAGTTATCGAGCGGGCACCGGGACATGGCAGAAGAAGGGGTGGCACTTGAGCTCTTGGTCTGTTTGGTTTGCTGTTGCATCTCGCTCAGCCGGACGGCCAGCCAAATGTTTGTTGCCTGAATGGAAGCAATACTACGCTGGCCTGCCCTTTAGGTTGTGGGCATCTCAAACACATGGA